AATAGTTTATTATGTATTTATGGACAAGGTAATATATTATTATGATTATGACATTATTAATTTATTTATGAAGTATTAATTATCTAAATTATATTAGAGTCATGATTTAATCAATTAAATTTTAGCTATTAAATTTTCTATACGTATAGAGAGGAGCCGGATACACATCTAATGATAGTGTCCAATAGTCGTTATAAAAATTATGGCCAAACACATACATAGCCCCCTTAACTTATCGTTTGGTAGAGTGTATTAAAAATAATAATGCATGCATTAGCCTTGCGTATTACTAGTACCTTGTTTGGTACTCTTTTTCAACCTATGTATAACTAATACTTGCATTAGTTATACACCCAATGGTGTATTAAGGTCTGTATTGCTAATACCATGGATTTCTAGGTATTAGCAATACAATGGTTTTAATGCATGCATTAACTCAATTGCCCTTCAATACATTTTTTTTATATCTTTTCCACCATAATAGTGAAGGGTCTCTTTGTAAATATTTTTTTTAATGCAATACATTCTATTTTTACAAGTATTTTATTATAAAATATATTTACTTATTTTTCTTAGTATTCTAACTTTTTTTCCTTTTTAATTTTTCTTTTTCTTTCTTCTTTCTTCTTCAAAAATTCATTGTCATCTCCATTGAAACTTCTCACTTTCAATGTCACCATTTTTACCACAACTTCACCTTTTCTTTTTTACTACTATTAGTTTTACTCTCTTTAATTTTAAAACTTTATCTAAATATTTTCTTACATTTCGAATAATTTGATAAACCCATTAGATTTCAAGACGATTAGGAAGTATCATATAGTTTTTTTATCCGATTTCAATTAAGTTCTTTCAAGTTTCAGAAAATTCATTGATTCTTTTAAAATAATTGTTTTTAATTTTGAAGTTATATGAAAAAGAGTAATTGATGATACCTTCAAAATTTTCAATTTTCTTAGAAAAATAATTAGTTTTGTTATCAATAATTCAATACAGTCTAGAAAATAGTATGAATTCATTTTTATAAAAAAATCACTGAAATAAAGAATTTGACTGGAGAAGGAGAAGAAGAAGAAGAAGAAAAAGAAAAGAAATAAAAAATTGGAAGAGAGGTTCAACTTGACGTGGGGGGTTGTGAATTACGTAGGGATTTTCCTAGGGATTAGTATGAAAATCTGCAGGAAACTTATTTTCCTGCAAATTTTCATACTAATTTCCAGAAAAATCCCCATGTAATTCACCCTTTTCTTGTAGCGATGGGAGGTGAAGAAAAAGAAAGAAAATGGAGGCATGAATCACTTGAAAGTGGGGGTGGAAGATGAAGTGAAATTTAAGATGAATCAAAATTAAAATAAGAGAGAGAGAGAGAGAAATAAAGAAAAAAACTTGAAATAAAAAAATATATTTTTAATTAAATTAACACGTGTCATGTAATGATTGGTGTGTGAACACACTTGATTCTTAAATCAGGGGCTGATCGAAAAATGATATAATAATATATGTTCAAAATTGTTTAGTGGGGTAGTAGGACAGTTGCAAAGTTAATGTGTCTTTTTGAAAATCCGAGACAACTTCAGAGGTGACTTTATATCTTTTCTTTAAAAATAATATATGTATAACTAATGCAAACATAACTAATATATACATTGCTAATGCAAGCATTACTAATACACTCTATTTAACATTAGTTTTATACACTCTACCAAACGACCCTAAATTTCATTTTGACACTCCAATTCAATCTTGTTTTATTTTAACCTTTCAATTTTATTTCCAATGAACCATTTAAACACAAAATGTTGACCGAACATATAAGTGAACTTATTCATCTAAAATTCGTGTGACGAGATCCTTTTTAACGTTAATAGTCGACATTTTTATCCTTAAGAACTTTCTCCTTTATTTATTTTCTCTATCTTCTCTTCAACTCTATTTTCTCCTTCATCTACTTATCCATTTATTTTCTTCATCTACCTTCTTCTCTATTCAACTCTCTTTATGCTATGATTTGCAGATCTTTTTTCAAAGACATACATGATAAATATCAAAATTGTTAACTTTTAGAAACTATTTTCCTCCTTAGATAAATAATAAGAAGGTTACCTGGTGTAATCTTTAATCGAAATACCACCAATTCTTCTATTACATACTCACTTCGACCTTGCTAAACAAAACACTAAATTCTTGATAAATAATGCATTAATCTTCTACTTTCATGATCTGTTTCTCTCAATTAGTAGAATACAAGAAATACCAACAGTATAATAATTTCCTTAAGATTGATGTTCATCTTGTGTTCCTAAGATACTTAGAACAAAACTTTGAAGAACTTGGTAAGAAACAACAAAGTTTAAAGAGTATTTTCAAAACTAGAAAGTTAAAACTAGTAGAGAAAATAGAATTAGAAACATGTTAGAAACAATATACAAAATATTTTTTTGAAAGAAAGAAAATCGAGTCCATTGAATGCACAATGTCCCCTTAAGAAAATTATTCCCCTCAAGTACCCGAGGTTAATGTAATATATCCTCCCAGGATAGAACGATCTTACTCACCGGTGTATCGGTACCTAAAACCACGGTGTCAGCGAACCACTCAACGACAATTAAGTACACTTAGAATACTAGATTTAGTAGTAGTAGAAGAAGTCCAGAATATTGGTTCTTTTAAAATGAGAGAAAATCTCTCAATTTATAGAAAATAAAGGGTAGTGTGAAAAAGTTCTTATTGTGCCTTACCGGAAAGGTCACAACCCTTTGAAAAAGTCACAATCTTTCGGAAATGTCACAACCTTTCATAAAAGTCACAACTTTTCATAAAAATCACAACTTTTCATAAAAGTCACAACTCTTCATAAAAGTCACAACTCTTCATAAAAGTCGCAACTTTTTATAAAAGTCACAACTCTTCATAAAAGTCGCAACTTTCATAAAAGTTACAACTCTTCATAAAAATCACAACTCTTCATTTTTCATATACACCTTTTAAAACCCAACAATTATTAATGTGATGATTTATTATTTAAGTAGTTAAGACAAATTTTAGAATATAATTTAATGAATTCATTTACTTATTTGTCGAAAATCTAGGCATATGATCACGGCTTCCCTCCATTTCTCTTTTTTTATTATTCTCTAATTTTTATTCTAAGATTTAATTGATTAGATCAAAATTTTAATTATAATTTAAATAATTAATATTTTATAAATAAATTAGTAATGCCACAATTATAGCAATATATTATGTTATTCATAGATATATTTTAACATTTCTCTCTCTTATTATATTTTCCCTAAGCAGTATTTATCTTCTATTTTTTTTAAGAAAAATAATAAGTAATTGATAACTTAGATTTTTTGTTAAGATCATCAGAAAATTTCAACCAAATTAACTTAATTCAAAAAAAGAAGAAGACAAATACTCATAAGGAAAAAATAAAAGTTTATTATATATTTATGGACAAGATAATATATTATTATGATTATGACATTATTAATTTATTTATAAAGTATTAATTATCTAATTTATATTAGAGTCTTGATTTAATCAATTAAATTTTAGCTATTAACTTTTTTATATGTCATGTATTTTTAATTCAAGTAAATACTTGGGGAATATGGAGAGGAGCTGGATACACATCTAATGATAGTGTCCAATAGTCGTTATAAAATTATGGCCAAACACATACATAGCTCCTTTAACTTAAAACTAAATTTCATTTTGGCACTCTAACTCAATCTTGTTTTATTTTAACCTTCAATTTTATTTCCAATGTACCATTTAACACACAAAATGTTGACCGAACATATAAGTAAACTTATTCATCTAAAATGCGTGAGAAGAGATCCTTTTTAACGTTAATAGTCGACATTTTTATCGTTAAGAACTTTCTTCCCTATTTATTTACTCTATCTTCTCTTCAACTCTATTTTCTCCTTCATCTACTTATCCATTTGTTTTCTTCATCTACCTTCTTTTCTATTCAACTCTCTTTGTGCTAAAGGTATTATTTTTTAAAATTTAAATTTATATAATTCATCTTGTATCAATTACATTTTATGTTATAAAAGACTCCATAAAATGTTAAAATAATAAGTAAATAGCTAGATTGAGGAAACAATATCAAATCAAAATTTAGAATTATAACTATCCAAATGATGTCAAATGCTTTGTTAATGCCGTATAAATTTTTAAAAAATGGATATATTCATAATAACATAAACAAGATGTTTATAACTTATGTCACAAATCGATCTCAACAATAAATTTGGTAATAAATTAAATATAGGCAATAAGTGTTTTTAGTTATTATTTTCTTTGTCGCTGGCTCACTACATTTAATACCGTGAAAAGTATAAATGAGATCGAAAATGAGAAATATGAAAGTCTTAAACCAAATTTTGAAAAAATATATGAAAGTATATAAATTCGGTCAACTTAATTTGAAAAATACACCTATTTTTTTTTTTAAATCAATAGAATTCGGTTTGTTTTTATCGCAAAAAAAAAGCTTGAAGAGTATAAATGAGAAATATGAAAGACTTGAACCAATAAGCACCAATGATCTAGTGGTAGAATAGTATCTTATTACCACATTAAAGATGGAGATTAACATTTTTATAGTTATATATGTATTTTAAAATTGATCGAGTTTGATTGGTTTTTCATTTTTTTAAAATTGTGTGTTTAAAAATGATTAATTTTATATAGTTAAAATACCAATCGATTCAGATGAATTTTTGGACGGACAAGCATTTTCCCACAAACAAGTTTTTGTCAATTTTTTCCTAAAATAATCAGCTATTAATATTTGAATGTGAGACCTCAAGATACTCAATCCATTTCATTAATCAAACCCACCCTTGGCTGCATTGACATAATTGATCCATTCAATTTAATACATTCAATTATTCTCAGTACACATACTTAAACAAACCGAAAAAAAGAGGAAGAACTACAGAGGATGCATTGACTTTTCTATATATTTCACAACAAAAACATCAAAATTCTTCATTGTTTCTATAATCTATGGCAATTAAATATAGATTTTCCTTTTTCTCCGCGGTTAATCCATGCGTTTCAGTCATATCCAAATCTTTCGGATTAGTTTCATTAGGGAGTTTCCATTCAAAGTGGTAGAGTAACTGAGCTAAAGGATGTATAACATTAACAACCCTGGACACACCCTTCGTCCTGGACCAAATGGAATAAATTCAAAATGATTTCCCATAAAGTCAATAGAAGAGTTCTCAAATCTTTTTGGTATAAAATTTTCCGGATCATCCCAACTTTCAGGATCTCTTGCGAGTGCCCATGCATTGACTAGTACTCGAGCCTTTAGAGGTATGGTGTATCCATCTATAACTGTTTGCTCCCTACATTCCCTAGACCCTAGAAGAGGAGCTGGCGTATGTAGCCTTAATGTTCCCTTAATCACTGACTGACTTTAGGTATGTCAAGTTTTCAACTTCTTCTTCACTAAAATTTTGTTTTCCTTTAAAAACTCGTCTCACTTCACTTTGAGCCTTGATCATAACATTCGGGTTCTTTATCATTTCTGATAACGCCCAAATAATAGTTGAAGATGAAGATCCAGTTCCTCCTAGGAATATGTCCTACATCAACAACAAAAAAAATAATAATCCTAGAAAAGGGAATTAAAGGAAACGCGTACGAACAAAGATAAAGAAGGAGAGCAAACTTACAAAAATCACAGCTTTAATATGGTCATTTGTGATTGGATATTGAAGTTGGGAGTTCTCTTTCACCCTTAAGAAAACATCAACCAAATCTTCGTCTCCAAATTCACCATTTCCCTTCTTCCCAGCTGCTTTATTTTCGATATGCTCATTCAGAATTTCCTCCATAACTGCATCAACTTTCTTATGCGCATTCACCATTCTAGTTTTCTCACCTCTTAGGTTGTGAAGTAATTTCCAGGTAGGGAACAAATCACCCACAAAAAATCCTGCTCCTAATAACAGTACTTCCTTCAAAATTGTTAAGAATTCGTCTCGATTTTTGCATATTTTTCCAAAGGCTGATCTACAAATGATAGAGTTGGAAAACAGAAAAATAATTTGTGTCATGTTGATTGTATTACCCATCGTGGAACGAATTGATGAAATAAGATTTGAAAGCTCATCCTCTCGAACTGCACCATATGACTTAACCATCTTCGTACTAAGAAGTTCTAAAGTACAAATTTTACGCATTTGTCTCCAATAATCACCATATTGACTGAATGCAATATCTTTATTGTTGTAAAATATGATGTTTGTAGATGTAAGTTGTGGCCTATTAACAAAGGCGAGATCATGAGTTTTTAGAACTTGTTTTGCCATACTAGGTGATGATATGACCACGGTAGGAACTTGCCCCATTTGCAAATACATAAGAGGTCCATATCTTTGAGATAAATTTCTAAGAACGCGATGTGGAAGTCCTCCTCCGATCAAGTGATGCAGACATCCAATAATGGGAAGTTTCCATGGACTTGGAGGCAATTTTTTTTTTTTTATTCCTCCATTTTCTAATTACAATAAAAAGGGTGAAGAAGAAGAGAAGCCATGAAGCTAAGGAGTAATTGATCTCCAGTGAAAGGAATAAGGATTATTAATGAATGAGAAGTTTAGTTTAAATTAAAGAAGAAAAATTGTATTCCCAACGTCTTTTGGCACGTCTTATTATATAAAGAAGATGAGAACAGATACCGAAAACCTCCTTTGTTTGAATTTTGTATTTATTAGCTTTTAAATAAAGATAACAAATCGTCTTTAATTATTTAAATTTTAATATTCAAATGTGTATTTAGATTCAGTCATTGTAATGAAACTGAGTCATGTTAAGTTGTCTGATCTAACCAGATTATTTTATTAATTCTGAAAGCGAGGAGCTGAAGTAATGTTAAGAAATTGTGTCAAGCACTTAATTGAAGTTGGTTTATCTGGAATTAGTTATTTTGAAAAATATCTGATAAATACACCTACAAGTGGAGAATAGCTTGCCTATCCCCAGCCCTAATTAGGGGTGGCATATAATAAAAGAATTGTGATTTTGACTTTTCAAAAAATATTTCAAATTATATCCCAACTAACATCTTATATGTATATAAACAAGAAGAAGTTACTCGAATGTTAAACACCCCTCACTTTTTATTCTAAAATTGAAAATTAGAATCACCGAGGAAAAAAAAAGGTGATAAAAAAACCTTTTTTTTTAGCAAGGTTGGGTTCCATATGTGTCAAACAGCAATTAATCGCCAGAATTTACCTCCAATGACTCGAGTGAAGTTTGTTATACCCAAAAGGAATTCAATTTTACTCAATTCAATCTTTGACTAAAAAACCTGAACTCCAAAGTTTTAATTCCTAGGTTTTAGATAAAATCTCATTTTTTTGGTGTTTTTATATAATGCTCGTGGTTCATACACCTATTTTGAAGTAACATATAAAAATGGGGTGAGACATTATCCCAAAAATCCAAATAGTATTTATTATCTCAGAAATTAGCTAGTTTTTAAGATTGTAATGGATGATAGTGATAATTATGATGATGGTGATTGACAATTTATAATGGTTGTTGATGGTGGTGGTTGTCTGTAGTGATTAGTGTTTATTGCACCAATGTAAATTAGTGGTGATGATTTTAAATAGTGGCTAGTGATGGTACCGAAGGCTAACTGTGGTGATTGGTGGCGACAGAAGCAAGGGCGTATCTAGAGGGGGTGTTGTGGCTTCACGTGAACCCATGCTCCCTTCTCTAGATCATATATAATAGTGTTATATTTTTAAAAACAATATAATTTACATATAGAGGTGTGAATCCGTGTTCAAAGTATCATATAATAATATGATGATGATTGGTGCACCTCTCTAAGAGAGGATAGAAATTTAAATCTTATATCTATCTTGTCTTTTTGAGTAAAATCTCTCTAAGTGGTTATCGGTTACACTTTTGGCGTCTCAACTAATTTTTCTTTTGTTTTTTGTCTTTAATCTTTCAAAATTTTCAAGTGTGTTACATTAAAAATTTAGCACTGTAAAATTTTTATATAATTAAATCAAATGTGTATATTAAAATTTAAAGCTAGTAATATTATATATTTTGGACCTATAATTTTTAAAATTTAATGGTTCATATTAATAATCTAAAATTCAAACCGATCAAATTTATATTTAAGATGCATTTTTTTGGTAATCATGCACCCATCTCGCGAAAATCTTGGATAGAAGTAGTTGATGAGGATGGTGATTGTAGGTGGTGGGAGTTGATATTGGTGGATAGTGGTTGTTAGTAGTGAAGAGCCATTTTTATAGAAATTCTTGAACTGACATATTAGTGATATTAAGATTTTGTTATATACTCCCTCTGTTCAATTACACTTGTCACTTATTCCTAAAATAAATTTTCATTTTTACTTGTCACTTTTGACATATCAAGAACAGACGATTATATTTTCCCATGTTTTACCCTCAGCATTAAATACTCTTTCTCCAAATCATCTTTTAAGACTTAATACTAAACAATCATTTAATAGGGATAGTTTGGTAAAATACCTATATCAATAATTGTTTTCTTAATGGGTGTGTCAAGTCAAACAATGACAACTAAAAATGAGCGGAGGGAGTATCTAAATCATTCAAATTCATCAGGCCAACAAAATTTTAAAAAACAAATTTATTCGTTGAGAACAATTTATACATCTGTGATTGGGGTTGAAAATCGTGTTTGGAGCGCATGTAAAAATCATATTTAATCTCAGTCACGTGTTTGAAGTTTTTTTGTCAATTTTTTTGTTCTTCGAGTTTCAACAATTCAACACTCAAATCTACTCCAAACAAGCTTTGATTTGAAACATAAATTCCATATATCATAAAGAACAAAGTTTAATCCTTAATTGTGAAATAATGACAAAATCTAACAAATTCATTTAGCACTCATTTTTAAAAAATTCATTTATAAGTCATACATGATTTTAAGTTTTTTATTTTTGTTTGAAAAACAACTCTCGATCATTAATTTGTCAAATAATGACAAATCTAACCAACTGGACTCTCGATCATTAGTATCATTTGAATTTTTTACTTATGACTGCACTCGGTACATATATGACTGGAACATTTGTTAAAATTGAATAAATTCAGTTTTATATGTCTAAATGCAGAAGCAAAACAAAAGCATGTGTTTTTGCATGATAATTACCTAAATACTGAATAGTCATGATTTTTATTTTTTTTACTTAAATAGGAAAACTAAAACAGGCACCTCATGAAATTTTTAGTATATTAAAAACCAAAGGCATAAAGATTTCCATCGACTAGTAAGGAAAGGAAAAGTAGCTTTAATTTGATGGATATTGCATAGTAGCTTTTAGCCACTTTTATAATGGTCCAATACCCAAACAATTATGAATGTCGTTATTGAAAAAATTATATTTTCACCCAACTTATTGTGTATGGTCTGATTTCTAATTTAAAAGCAAATAAATTCCAATTTTAAAATTTCATATTTCCATCTTGTCACTCAACGCTTCACCCTAAATTCTTTTTATTTCTTGGAAGTTGAAGAAGAAAAGTAGTCTTCCATCATATTATGTCTAGAGGATTGTAGGTCACAATTTATAACCAATCAGAAGTACTGCTTTTTTTAAAAAAAAATTATCACCATATGGTGGTGAGACCTCTATATTGATGAATAAAATTGCAAAGCTAAGGAGAGCTTAAGCTCGGCCCATTATTCAAGTAGCTGGTTTGCAAAAATTAAGGAATCAATAAAAACTATACAAGTTTTGCACAAATTTATAAGTCCAGCGTAATAGACAAAATTAACTATAACATCTCAAGTGGATCAGTTATATACAAAATAATGTTTCCTCTGCTTATGCCTTAGGGACTCCATTTGTATGAGATCAAGTTTGTAAGGTCCGATGGCTATCGATGGTAGGTGAGCCTGTGCAAAAATAAACAACTCCTCATTTGTAATACTCCATTTTGCCAAGACATCTGCAACTTGGTTGGCCTCCCTATAACAATGTCTAATCTCACAAGTAATAGTACTTGAGATATTTTGAATACAAGTAATGATATTCTTCATTTGCCAATGGATATTGTAATTACCTTTGATCATGTCAACAACTATCTTTGAATCACATTCCAAGATTACATTGCTAAGCTCATGTTGAGAACACCATTCCAGACTATTTAAAGCAGCATTGGCTTTGACTATATTGGTAATATCCCTACCAATACTTCGAGCAAAGGCTATAATAATTTTACCTCTATGATCTCTACAAATCCCTCCAGTTCCAGCTCTTCCAATGGCATCCATGCTTCCATCAGTATTAATCTACACCAAATTTTCAGGGGGTTTGATCCATCTAACCACACTATATTCATTTTTTTGGGAATAAAGTCAGTGATCTGTTGATAGATAACTCCCCACCTAGAGCTTCATTCTATATTAGTCTTTGCCCTAGACACCAACCATTTTAGATGAGATAGAATTTGATATTGAATCCTCTTTGTATAACATTTGTTTCCTCTATAAATTACTGAACATCTCGCTTTCCGTATCTCCCAACAAATTACGACAGGAGTAATTTGTAAAATAGTATAATGGAGTGAGTTTTTTGGCTTGATATCCCACCATATTTTGACCATATACTTGATAAGTACTGGGTATATCCTCCCAAGAAATTCCAGCAGGATTTCTAAAAAAAAAATCATATATGTTTTGCAATTTTCTCCCCAATGAAGGTGTGGTGCATAGTGTCTCTTTGGTCAATAGGGAAACAAAAACACATGGCATCACAGTATAACAACCGGGTTCCGTCTTTATAGAAAAGCCAACGGAGAAAAAATTTGGGTCGGAGAACTTTTTCGTAGTAACTTGGAATTTCCCAACCTAGTCTAGATTTGGACGAAATTAGAGTTGTCGAGGTGTAGGGAAATCTGGTAGCAATTGGGTGATTTAATTATGATTTTGATTACATGAGTAATTAGATAAGTCGTTAAGGAATCCGTACAACTTAACGAAATTGAATTCGGGCGAGTAAAACTCCCTGAATCGATCTTAGCGTGAAAGGGATTACTGAGTGTTGTTGGTTAGAGGTGTGTTGTGAAATGTGGGTCTTGGAATTATTAAAATAGCTCACTGTTTCGTGCAAGCCGCTTTGTCGCTGGGTTTTGTCGCTCTGGCGGGATTGTGTAGCGGGGTGAGGGTCGTTATGGCAGGCCAGACGCGACTTAAAGTCGTAAATAAACCCCTAAATGACTTTATTCTACATTTTTCAATTTTTAGAGCTAAGGAACGACCCAAGGCGACTCTTGACAGTTTTCCACCATTCTTGAGGCTAAAGGTAAGTTTTTAACTCTCCGAATCCATTTTTCGATCCGTCGAACGTAATCTAATGGGTAAATATCGATGAGGGAGGATTTTGATCTAGAATTTATGGTGGGAACAACCCTAATTAGGATAATTGGATATGGATATGATCTAGGGTTGTTAGAATTGTAAGTAATTCGGGTAATTAGTGATTGTTTATTGATTCCCGTATTATATTGATTGTTTGTAGACCAAGAACTAGCGGAACGAATCCAGAAAGGGAAGGATCAAGTTTCTTAGGGTTTCAAGCTTGTTTCGAGGTAGGTGATGGTTATGATTCTATGATTGTGTGATGTATGTTTGTTCTTGCTTCATTATGAAACATGTATGTATATGAATATTGCATTATCGATCACACTTGTTATAAATGAGATAGATGAATGATGGTTACCATGAAATCATGACTTAATTGTATGATTTTGAGGATATACTTGTGATTGTGATTGTGTGTGTTGAATGGATTGGTTGCCACGTTCCGGCATAACTAACTTGGATCGGTTTCCACGTTCTAGCATAATTATGGGATCGGTTGCCACGTTCCGGCATAATCATTGGATCGAGTACCACGTTTCGGTATGCTAACTATTTGGGTTTGGGTTCCATGAGTGGACCAATGACTTGTCATAATTGTGTATCTTGAAAAATGTAAAGTTGTTCGTTGTTCATAAATGTTGATAATATTGTATATGTTCGATATATGTATGTGATTATATTGTGTATTGACTAATGTATGTTACACTTAATGGGATAGCCGTGTAATCCTACCAGTACACTGTGGTTGTGTACTGATACTGCACTTGCTCTTTTTTTGTTGAGTACAGGGCATCTTCAAGCGGCTATTGACAGACCTCACTTAGAAGATCAGTGACCGTTTTTGAACTCAAGGGTGAGCTAGTTCTTTCGGGCTGCCATGGATTCTCTTTCGTCTATGTCCATAATTTCGGACTTAGACTTTTCTAGCTAATTGATTAGTTCATTAGTTGGGGTTGTATCCTTTCTTGTTTAGACTTGTTGAACTTTAGATGTTTTGGTACATTGACTTTCAGGTTCTAGGTTATTTCTTCCGCATTGTTTAGTTCATAGTTAGACTTTCGTTGGAGTTTATGGGAACTCCCTAATTCTTTCCTTAGTATTTAACTTTCTTCTGTAACTTAAATGCTTTAGTTTTTGGTTCAGTTGCTTGGTTTGGTTTGTAGTAGTGGTTTTCCCACCGGAGGGTTAGTGTGGGTGTCAATCACGACGGTCTAGGTCGTGACAAAGTTGGTATTAGAGCCTAGGTTTGTTGATCTCGATGTACCAAAATGAGTCTAGTAGAGTCTTGCGGAAGAATACAGGGATGCCTTTACTTTTCTTCAAGAGGCTATAGGACTTTAGGAAATCTCTCTATTTTCTCTTTGTCTCCTTTCGTGCTATGACTTGATTCCAATTGGTATCTGGCGATTTAAATTGGTATCTAACCTCATTCACTCTTCTGTCCGCAGATGGTTAATACTAGATTCCACGGTGTCAGTCCGTAGATCCCGTCAATGCTCCAGCTGAGGAATCTACAGCGAGAGGTCCCGGTCGAGACTGGGGTAGAGGAAGAGCTAGGGTAGAGGCCGTGGAAGAGTAGTGCCTGCTGGGAATGAAGCTCCTGTTGAGAATGCTCATGTGAATAAGAACCCTTCTACGCATCATGAAGAGATAGATGAGAATGTTGGTGTTGAGAATGTGGGACAAGAGGAAGAAGTGCAGGCTGAAACTATCGATGTTCCTCCCATAGACCTAGTGTTAGCTCGACAGATCATGTCATTCTTGAAAGGGTTGGTTGGTCCTGGAGTGCTTCTTTCTGTTCAAGCAACTCAAGCTCTTGCTAATCCCCCTATTGCTAGCACTGCGCCCAAGACGGGTGGAATGGGAGGTAACGATGCTTTCTTTCATCCTTTGTTGGGTTCTGTTATAAATGGTAATGATCATGAAATGTTGACGAAGTTTTTTAAACTAAAGCCTCCTGTGTTTCTTGGTTCTGAGAATGAGGATGCTTATGAGTTCATCTTAGATTGCTATGAGAGGCTTCTTAAGTTGGGAATTGTCCATCAGCATGAGGTTGAGTTTGTGTCCTTTCAACTTCAAGGTGAGGGAAAGCAGTAGTGGAGAGCCTATATTGAATGCAGATCTTCTACTTAACCTCTACTTAGTTGGACCTAATTTCATGCTTTATTTTTGGAGAAATATGTGCCTAGGACTTTGAGGGATCGCAAGAAGGATGAGTTCATGGCTTTGGAACAATGTGGTATGACTATGGCTGTTTATGAGGCCAAGTTCCATATTTTGTCTAGATATGCTACTCAATTGGTGACTACTGAGGAAAAAAGAATCAATTATTTATTAGGGGACTAAATTCTGAGTTGCAAGTGTTATCTGTTCATATGACTTCTGCAGGGAGGAGCTTCAATGAGGTAACAGACTATGTTAAGAAAGTGGAGGGGGTGAGGCGAGACGGTCAGGCTAAGGCATTGGCAAAAGGGCGAAGAACTCGGGTAACTTTTAAAGTTCTTACTCCAGGGGGTCCGAAAGGCCAACACTTGCAGCCAAGCCAATTCAGTCCGCTATGCCCACCTCTACAAGTAACTACTTAGGAACTCCATCTCATAATTTGATTTAGGATAGCCAGGGAGTCGCACCTTCAGCGGGCAGCATGCTATCTTTTGATTGTATATGTTACAATTGTGGAGAGCCTGGGCATATGAGGAGAGATTGTCCCTACCCACGCGTGTTAGATTCTGCGCAGCAGCAGTCTAGAGCAGTGGTACCCGTGGGGAATGGTAAATATGGTAGAGGACACCCACAAGGTGGGCGAGGAGGTAATCAGCGATGCCGTATAGGTAGAGGAAATGGTAATGCAAGCAGAGAAGTGGCTCATCAAGATGATAGGGCTCAGTTCTATACCTTTCCAGCCAAGAATGAGGCAGAGGCGTCTGGCGCGGTGATCACATGTACTATTTTTGTCTGTGACCGGATGACTAATGTGATATTTGATCCAGGTTCTACTTATTCATATGTATCCGTGAGATTTGTCTCAAAGTTTGATATGATTTGTGATATACTTGATACCCATATCCATGTTTCTACCCCAGTTGAAGAGTCAGTCATAGTCACCCATGTCTATCGTGCTTGTCCTAATTTGTTTATGGGTTTTTAGACTTGGACTGATTTGGTGATTTTGGATATGACTGATTTTGATATAATCTTAGGTATGACTTGGTTGTCCCCCTATTATGTTGTACTTAATTGTCCTACTAAGTCTGTAACTCTAGATATTCCGGGAAGGTAAAAATTAGAGTGGGAAGGGGTGTACAAGCCTAAGCAAGCTAAGATCATATCCTCCATTCGGGTTAGGAAATTGGTAGAGCAGGGTTGTTTGGCTTATTTGGCTCATGTTAGGGATGTTGAGGTTGAGACTCCATCTATTGAGTCTATTCTTGTGGTGTCAGAATTTAGAGAAGTGTTTCCTAATGAGTTGCCTGGTATGCCTCCAGATAGAAATATAGATTTCTGCATTGATTTAGAGCCCGGTACACGCCTCATTTCTATCCCTCCATATTGCATGGCTCCAGCAAAATTGAGAGAGCTTAAGGCTCAAATCCAAGAGCTTCTTGATAAGGGATTTATTCGTCCTAGTGCTTCCCTTTGGGGAGCCCCAGTGTTGTTTGTTAAGAAAAAAAATGGTAGTATGAGAATGCGATAGATTACCGGCAATTGAATAGGGTCATTATTCGAAACAAGTACTCTTTGCCTCGAATAGATGATCTTTTTTACCAATTGCAAGGTGCACCAATTTTCTCTAAGATTGATCTAAGGTCTGGCTACCATCAGTTGAAAATTAGGCCTGAGGATGTGCCCAAGACAGCGTTTAGAACCCGCTATGGGCACTATGAGTTTTTGGTTATGTCTTTTGGTTTAAC